GGGCAAGTCACTCCTCCTCTCTGGGGCCTAGCTGCCTATGAATAAGCAACATGGCACCATGTCACAAGTCCCAAGCTGTCTGAAAGTGGCCTGGTGTTCTCAGTCTTTGAAGTGATAGGGTTAGGCTGCATGCTGTCTAAAATCGTGATGGAAGAGGCCAGTACAGGCTGCAAGTGGCCAGTGTTGGTCAAGTACTTCCTGTTTGGCAGAAGCTATGCTCTTGCCACGCTACCACCATCGTCTCCACTTCACCGACATGGAGCCCGAACTCAGACGGGCATCTTCCTTGGGAACTGGCCCCCAAGTCTATCTGATGCGGAAGCCCATGTTAGAGCGTACCGCTTCTTGAGCGTTTCGACCCGAGAGAGATCGGTGATGTTGGGGGACTTTCTCTGACAACCTTTAAAAGTGGGTGATCGGGGCGCCTGGGTGGCTTAGTCGGTTAAGCGTCCGACTTTCGCTTAGGTCATGATCTCGCGGTTCGTGGGTTCGAGCCCCGCGTCGGGCTCTGTGCTGACTGCCAGCTCAGAGCCTAGAGCCTGTTTCAGTCTGTGACTCCCTCTCTCTCTGACCCTCCCCTGCTCACGCTGTCTCTCTCTCTCTCTCTCTCCTAGAAATAAATAAAAATATTTAAAAAATAAATAAATAAAAGTGGGTGATAGCAGCAGTGACTTGCACGGCAGTTTTAAGGGAAGAGTAGAAGCCAAAGAACAAGGAGGAAGCTCAGTCACTGGGCAGGCCCTCCTCGTGTGCCTGAGTCCGGTGATGCTGATAGAATTTGGCCACAGTGGTGTAACTCAGTGCACGGTCTTGGCTGAAGCTGCAACCCCCCTTATAATCATGTTGACATCTCAACAGAACAATGGGGCAAAGGCATGGAAAAACAATTCACAGGAGGAAAAGATGAATACAGGAGATGATTGTATGGGAAAATTCCATCTCGCTAAAAACCAAATGAAAAATCTCAACAAAGATTTTTAAAACTCTGAAAATTGTGTCAACATCCCCAAATGGAGAAAATTATCTTAAAAATATGCATATCCTACCATGGAATGCTGGGCCAACCTTGGCACTGTTGGTCAAGAATATAAAACTCTTTCATGACACAGAAATACAATGTACTGGGGAAAAAATGAAAAAAATGAAATTATATAAGACTGTATATATGGCATAAACCCATTGAAAACTGTATGTTTACACGTAGACAGGAAGTACGGGAGCAAAATCTATCAGCGCAAACCGTGTTGCTTTCTGAGTGGATGTTCTTATTGCCTTCTTTTTCCGTTCCCATGTATTCCAGCATTTCTAAGTGAGCATATGCTCTTTCATGGATGACCTGCCCAACCAGGAATCGGGATTGCCGGTGCCCTGAGTCCCGTCCCGACGGAGCCACAGTTCAGAACAGTGTAGGTGGTGCTTAAAGAGAACATTTCATCGAACGTGCCATTCCTTCAGCAAGCCTCTTGGGAACATTCTATAGAAGTAGGTGCCATGCACTGCCCCTGGCACCCTCCAGAGCTAGACCCCGGCCCAACTGGAAAGCAGCTTGAGCTTGGTGCTGCCTGGTGTCATTTAATTTGCCCTTTTTCTGCCCAAGCCATTAGTGACCTTCTATTCTTTCCCTATTCCTCTTCCACCTTGTCAAACCCTGGTCCCACACGGAACTCACATGTGGTCAGACGCAGGTAGAAGTGACTGGCAACATTTTAAAGGACTGCCACTCCTGGAGGGGCTTAACCACCTTTGGACAAAAGCCCTCCCCTGAATTCAGGAATGAGGCCCTCACGGGCCAATTTTAGGGAGACTTGATGGGAAGATCCCTGAGGGCTGCCGGAATCCTTGTTCTTGCTGCTCCTCCCCTCCCTTGCTTATCGGCCCGGTACGTGTTCCTCATGTTCACAAACCAGTTCTTGTCACAGCTTCCCCGTGTCTCCCAGGTAGCAGGGTCCTTGCTCTTTGTGCTCTGGGAGCAGCTTCTGATGGTGACACCACTGCACTGTGGCTTTTTGTTTGCCCTTCTTCCATAATAGGCCGTGAGCCACTGGAGGGTCTCATTGTCCTGTGTCCACAGCATCTACCCCAAGACCCAACCTGTAAGTGATGGTCGGATGACTGACTGATCAGCCTTTCAAGATCCTGAGTCAGGGGGTGCCCCCCTCGCCCTGTGGATGGGGCTGTCTTTGGGTTGTTTTATTATCATCCCTTAGGATGGTGGGCAAAAATCCACAACTGATGATAGTTCCTCTGGCTTTTCAGCAGAATGGGGTGGCCCTTACAGGACAGGTTGTGGGCTCCTAACCCCTAAGCATGTCTCAGGTGTTTCAATTGGGGGAAATATAGCAACTCATCATTGTAGAATGAAATCAACATAACAAGTTGGAATCAATACTTCTTTTTAAATGTAGATGAACAGAACAGACTACAACAGAACAGAATAAAATAGAGGAGAGAAGAATTTTGTTAAAAATCCAAGTATTCCCCCAAATAATAATAAGTATTGTCCCATGAAATCCGTTTCCACTGTGTATGTGTCCCTGAGCACTGGGTCCCGGTGAATTATGATAGACTTTAGAAGCCACTTTCCTGAACCGGTTGGAGGAGAGGAGCCAGCTGCCCCTGCGCTGTCCCCTGCGCTGTCCACCCATGCCTGAGACCTCACTTCCTGTGGACATTGGCTGGGGGCTGCCTCCTTTTATCCCCCGAAAGCCACTGCGCTGGAATAGCAAGAGTACTTCCCTTCATGCAGGTCTCAGGTCCAAGGAATTCAGAGGACAAAATAACTGTTTTGACTATGAAGAAAATGTAGAGGCTTAAATCACCCTCTTTCGACCCATGGGATTCTTGGAATCAGTTTTGTCCTGGACTCTGAGAAACAGTCTGCACCTGACAGATACCTCAACCCCACCCCCACCACATCCTCATAAGGGAGCAAGGCCTCCTGCCTGGCTGGGGCATCTGCACAAGTGGTGCCTCCATCCGGGGCTTCTCAGCGCTGTGGGTGATATGGCGGCCTCACCGGGTCCAGGCCCGTGGGTGGAGCAACTCTATTCAAGGCAAACTCCAAAACGATCCTTGACAGAATATCTAGCAGCTCACTAAAAACTGTATTATTTGGTTCTAGCAGTAGGGCAGTGCAGGGGCTAAGATCACCTTTGCCTGCGCTAGTTGGGTGACCCTGGGCAACGTAGCTTCTCTGTGCCTCAGTATCCCCATATGTAAAATGGGGATAGGAACTGTACCTATGCCATAGAAACACTATAAGGATTAAACCAGCTAACATATACAAAGTGCTTAGAACCACCTCTGTACACAGTAAGCATTCGACAAACGTTAATTATTGTTACTTAATTATCTCTTAAGCATGTATGACAGTTGTTTTTTCCATATTTATGGATGAGAAAGTGAGACCCAGAGGAATGAAGTAACCTGCTCTAGGTCATGTGCCCAGGAGAGGCAAAGCCAGAATATAAATCGAGATCTCCCAACTCCAAGTTCCGTGTCCTTCTCCCCGTAACGATGCCCACCTCAGCGTCAGTCCCCTGCGGAATTGTCACCTATGTCCTGTGGGTGTCTGACGGGCACTCTCGGATCAAAGGTGTCTGAAGGGGTGGTGAGCCTGGGGAAAGTCCTTTCTCAGGTCTGCTTGGCCCTAGGTCTTTGAGGGAGATATATTCTTGGGGGAGAGCATGTGTACGTGTGTGTATGGGTATATGTGTGTGCATGTATGCATGTTCGTGCATGTGTTTTAACATGATGGGGAATCAGAAAGGGAGGGGATCGCTTGTACTGACATTCTTTTTGAGTTCTAGGCTGCCGGACAGTGATGAGCATATAGGGTAGGCTCTTGATGCTTTCAATTAACTTTTTCGGTCTCTCGGTAACGGAGTGCGGCCGATTGAGACAAGCGATGATATGAGCAAGGATTTCAGGGGCTAAGCAGAAGCTATGCTCTATGCCCTGTTTTTTTCCCAGCCTGCGGTGTTTCCATATGTAGCACAAAGATCTAAAAAAAGGAGAATGTTTTCCTGGAGTTTATTTGAAGCTTTTTTTTCAAGATTCAAATCTACATGAGTTTCATATATGGTAACTCTCTTAATCAAAATGTTTGATTACGCTGAGCTCTCTGATGTGCTAGTTAACAAGCTGCTGTAATTCTCCAATATCTCTTTCCACCGGTTTGTGCCTGGGCTGGGCACGGGGCTGATAAGAGATCTTGGTGACTACTCGAGTGCCTGGCGCTCCTGAGGTGTAAGTGAGCTTACACTGTCCAAGAGGCGCTGCGGGAATTGGCCCTGGGGCCCCCACCAAGGATTAGAGAATAGGCTCCACGGTGCCAGGCGTACAAACAGGCCGTGTAATGCAGATAAAATAAGAACTGACTTCAGCATCTGCCCTGAACTCACACCAAGAACCTTCTGAGGAGAAAAAAAATGAAACCTCCTGTTAACTAATGGATGTGCAGCTAAAGATCTTCATGCGTGTATGCTGTGCAAGGTTGACTGAACCCAAGTCACAAGAGATGAAGATCACTGAGTGCTATTGCCCAGCTGACCCATGGAGGGAAGAAAGGTCAAATGCCTCCTGCCTCTCCAGGGTCGCGGGAAGTGTCCAGCGAGCAGAGGGTGGGGAGTGAGCATGCCCAGTGAAGCCCACAAATCGTCTCTGAATTGCATTTCACCCCGGCCACTTAACGATACTTTTTAAATTATCTCGGAAAACAGACAACTGCCCTTGAGAAAGCAAGAGGGAGCATCATGGGACAGACTTTAAACCAGACCCACGCATCATGCAACATGTTCGGTTCTCCCTGTTTTAGGAGTCAGGCCCCACCCTGGGTCTACACACCCCAGCTTTGCAACAAGACTACCTTCAGATTCACACGACACTAAAATGCAGCCGGGCTTCAGGACAGGGTCTCTATAGCTACAGGTTCTCACGTCCCCAGCCACTGGCCAGCCCGGGCTGGCTGGGACAAGGTGGCCAGCGTGCCCCCTGCTTACCTCCAGCACGATTTCTTTGAGCTGGAACTGTTTCTGCGCGACTTTGTCTGAGGACACAGGCTCGTGGTAGTAGAGGCAGAGTAAGTCGTACTTCTTCAAAACCTGCTTGAAGTTCTTCTCAGTGAGGCTTACCACGCGGTCCTTGCCGTCGTACGTGGGAAAGTTGAGCCCCTCTTCTGCCCTGCAGGAGGACAGCAGGTAGACCCCCACAAGGAACAGGTGCGTTCTCTTCATCTGGGAAAAGTTTCGTTCTACTTTCCCAGGAAGACTGAGTGCAGGAAAGCAGCCAACCAGACTCTTGGGGGGGGTCTGGTTGCAAGAAGCAGGGGGACAGAGAGGCAGATTTGGTCCCTGCCCTCTATCACTCCTGGGCCCGGAGGACCTACTCGCCACTGCCTGGGTTCCAGCTAGCAGTACTTGTGGGCTCACAACACATGCGTGCAAGGACTGAGGGCCAGGCTCAATGGCCGAGCCCCAGATACCTCGCATAGCTGGGCCCAGCCCCTGTCTCATCAGGAACTCCATTTTTAGGATGCAGTTGTCTCAGGCTAAAAATAAATCATGCAATGAATAAAAAAGTTAGATAGGACACTGTTGAGGGATTCGCTGATACAGTTTGTCAGAGGGGTTGCTAGGGAGGAGGAAGGAGGGAAAGGGGAGAGCGCGTGCACAAGAAATAAGGAGGCCAGCAAGGTCAGGGAAGAGAAACGGACTCGGGGAGGAGGGAGAGACGACGAGACGCAAGAGGGTTGGGACAGTAAGCGGGACAAGCCAGCGGAGACATCTGCACGCACACAGGGCCACCCAGACCTCGGGATCGTTCAATTACTCTAAGGACAAAATTCAGCCTGTCCCCTCCAGGCGGGCTGCCTATCCCCCTACCTACTCACTGCTCACACGGGAACACAGCCTCGAAGTGGACTTCACGTTCTGCACCTGCCTTTCCCTGCCTCCCATCCTCCCTTCCTGGGACCTGGGCCCCGGGTGGCCACTGCACTATGCTCACATGGCCCTGCCAGGCACTGGGCGAGGGATATAGGGACACCCTTCTTGCCAAATCCCCCCACCCTGGGGCCTCAGTTCCTCTCCTTCCACCCCCGCCCACAGCTGAACCCTGCAGACAGCAGGAGGCCCCATCCCCGTTTTAAAATAAATTTAAAATATTTTAAATAAAGTAAAAGTGCAACAGTCTTCCTCAGAAACCCTCTTAGATTATGACAGACCATCTCTGTCCTATTTATTTTTTTACCTTAGCCCTTAATGTATCATTTTTGTCCCTTTCTTCTTCATTAAAGACAGACTGGCACACAGAGCCTCAAAGTTGGACAGATGACAGTTTCAATCCCCGTTCTGACTTTTAATGGCTAGATGCACTTCAGAGGGTCACCCACTCTCTCTGGTTCTCAGTTCCTCCCCCCACTTTGTCAAATGGGGATGGTTATGACAATATTGTAAGGTGTGGAACACAGAGATGGAAGAGCATTGTGCAAAGCAGGTGCACGGTAGTTGTTATACTTCATTCTCACTGGAGATGGTGGAACGTGGGTTATTATCAGACTTGTCAGTTTCTAATAATAGTGGCTTGCAAATCGTTTCCTGTCCACTTTCTCCTTGAACCAAGCAGGCAATTGGGGCAGAATTGATTAGCGCTCTTTTCACAGGGGAGCTGCCTGAGAATCAGAGAGATCAGCAACTTGTCTGAAACAGCCTTACTAACTGCCAGCTCAGAGCCCCGTGCTGCTGGCTGCTCTAGCTCTGACTCAGGGCAATTTCTCAAGTGGCCCCTCAACCATCTTTTCTGGTCAAACAACAGCCCAGGCATGTCTTTCTGCTCTTTAGAGTGGTCTAGGGCTCTTAAAATTCAGACTAAATTTTTGTCTTCCTTTGGTTAGAAAATCAGCTTTGGAAAGAGTGAGGACTCAGTCATGCACAGCATTTACAGAGGACTGATGGAAAAGAGGGGTTTGTCATCCTACTCGAGGGAGAACAGGCCCGTCCCCTGCAAACAGAGGGCCTTATTCTGAGAAGTAGGGTGACAAGGAGCTGTCTGTCAGGACACTTTCATGTCCAGGAAGCCAAGACCTTGGAGAACCCATGACTGAAAATGTGAAAGCCTTCAGTTCTTTCTAATGGTGAATTCTCTATGCTTTTAAAATTGGAGCCCAAAATAGCCATTCTAAGGCGTGGTTAAATTTCCAGGTCATTGGCAAGCAGGAGATGGCTGCTTTCTTTAGAAAATTTCCCTGGAACAAGATTTCCAAGCGCAACAAAATATGTCAGTTTCCCAAAACTGTTCCCATTGTCTCAAACTCATGGGGTTATCTTTATTTAGAATGTGCCCCACTTTTCTTAATATGAAAGTTTTTAAAACTTTTACTGAAAACTTGGGAAATATTTAAAGTCAGAGTCTTTGAATTTCCTGACTTGAAACTGATGAAAAGTACCAAGGAAAAGAAATACATTTTGAAAATGTAGTTTAGCCTTCAGGTCTGGCTTCTGACCAACTGCCTATTAACAGAAAGAAGCTGTGGTATGGCAAGTTCCTGTCCCCAGATCCTGCACTCTATTGGGGGCTTCGAAGCCAGTCCTGAGGACACATGCTGGGGAAATCAAGTTTCTCGCTGTCCATGGTCTATGTTTTAGGCACCAGTCATTTCTCTGGCTGCTTTTATTTTCCTTTCTGTTTTTCCTCTGCTTTCTTGCTCACCAGCCTTAATTAATTCGTTTTGTAAACAGGGAATGCTTCTGACATTTCTGAGTCAACTTTGTACCTATCTACAAATTAGCGGTCCCATGCAGGTTTTAGCTGCTGCCCCAGACAGTGTCTCACCCCCACGCACTCCTACTTTAGGTGATTGTGCTGAGATGTGTGTATCCTTCCGTGCCTGTAGCAGGGATTTTTGTTTTGTTTCGTTTAAACCAGAAGGGATAAAACAGAAAAACCAATCAATGCAAATAAATCTTAATTATTATCACAATGCAGGCCTCTTGGTTTTGCTAGTCCTCCACTCTGTGAGTGGGCACTACCCTACAGTCCTTTAATCTAATCTAACCCCTTTCAATTCTTTATTCTCGGCAGGTGCCAGAGTGATTCTGCATAGATTACTTAATTAGGTCTTTACAATAATCCATTTCACAGATTAATCAGGACTTGAATCCACGGCCTTCCCATTTTTGTTAATTATATTTTTATTGGGCATCTTCTACGCACCAATTTGTCGCTAACCTGAATTTACCTGAGATTACATCCTCGGACAAACAATGCTTCAACAAGAGCAACGTAAACGTGGGCTGTGCGCACGCATGCGCAAGCACGTTGAATGGGTACGCGCGTGCTTGCATGTAAACCCGCGCATGCGCACATGCGTGTGTGCGTAACGTCACGTCAAGTAGAGGCACGTGCTCATAAGAACAGCAGAACGACGGAGACTTGGGGCGTTAGGTAAGTGGTGGCACCTTTGGACCGAGGTTGAGAAGAGCCTCCCCGGGGAGGGACGGTGGGAGCAGAAGCTAGGAGAGAGCGCTGCGCAGCCGCAGCCACAAGCTGGCTGCCAGGGAAACTCGGGAAACTGGTCCCGGGGACGCCAGACCCAGGGGACTCCACCCCGGGAGAGCTGTGTCCGCCTCCGCCTTCTCCTCGCTGCACGTGTTTTCCCGCTCAGACTGTACCTCTTAGTAAAAACATGTGGATGGGTTCACACCTGCACTGGAAGGTCTACAGGGCAGGGACCCCGTCCGAACGTCCCGGAGGCAGCTCAGCTAGAGAGACGTGACAGGCCGTCGGGGGACCTGGGTTCTGGGCTGGTCCCACGCGGCCGGGCTGTGCGACCTCGGCCAGGACTCCTCGCTCACCTCTTGGCGCTCGCATTTCTCATTGGTGGGGAAAGGGTCAGACTCACTGGTCTCCCCTGGCCCCATTTTGGCTCTCAAATTTTTAAATTTGTTAACGCGACGAGAGGATTTTCTTTTACCAGGTTAGGCCGTGGCCCAGCCCCCAGGTTTGAGAAGTTTGATGACTGACTACCCGCGGAGGAGGGTTTGGTGGGGGTGACTCTGGACAAGTCCAGGCTTCTCTCTCTCTCCTAGGACTTCACCGCCTCCGGAGGTCCCTTCTTTGGCTAAAATACTCCACCCCGTGGATGAAGCGAGTATGGCATCCTTTCTTTGATCCTGTTCTGTCCCACTGCACCGGCGCAGGGCCGGGAAGTCAGCCTGCTGGCCTGGTAGACAGTCCCAGAAGTGCTTGTGTCTAGGGACCCGGTGCTCCCCGGCCCCAGGCTTCCTCTGGTGAATCGGAACAGGCCTGAATATCCGGTCATCCCAGGAGCCTTCTGCCCCACACCAGGACACCCCTCTAAACAGAACCAAGCAGAAAAAGAGCAGCGCTGGTTGAAAAAGAGCCCCAAAGTTCTACCAATCGTGAGGCCAGGTTTTAACTAACGACACTTCCTTAGGGAAGCACCCCTGATTGACTCCCAGACCTTACACAGTCGTTCTCCTTGAAAACATATCTACCCTGGGGACTTTTTTCCCCAGGTAGCATGAGCCATAAAGTAGCCTCATAGTAGCAGATTACATAGTAGCCGAATATTGTTCACAGTAATCCTCAAAATCAGCCTGGCCTGTCATAGTTCTTAGTAAACAGTTATTAAATAAATTGGAAGCATTGAATCTGTGCCAGGCCTTATTTTAAAGTACTTTACAGGGGCACCTGGGTGGCTCAGTTGGTCAAGAGTCAAACTCTTGATTTCAGCTCTGGTCATGAAATCATGGTTAGGTAGTTTGAGTCCAGCATTGGGCGCTACGATGACAGTTCAGAGGCTGCTTGGGATTCTCTCTCTCTTTCTGTTCCCTGTCTGTGTTCTTTCTCTCTCAAAATAAATAAGTAAACTTAAAAAATTGTTTAAAAAGTACTTTACAAATTTAACTCATTTTGTCTTGATAATGCCATGAAGTTGGTAATTTTAGTATCCCTGTTGAACAGGTGGTAAACTGAGGCACTGGGCAGTTCACTAACTAGAGGTGTGGTTATCCCCATTTGACAAGGGTGGAACTGGGAATCAGAGAATGAGTGAGCATCCAAAGTTTATTCAGCCATTAAAAGGGGGATTGGACAGAAATTCTCATCTATGCAGCTCCTAGACTCTGTACCAGCCATTTATGAGAATATATGGAATCATGTATTATCTATTCTTTATTTTTTTAATCTGGTTTCTGCCACTCAGCATAATTATTTTTTGAGACTCAGTTATGTTGTTGCATATATT